AGTGTAGAAGACTGGTCAGAGGTATGGGGTCAGTGTTGAAGACTGGTCAGAGGTATGGGGTCAGTGTTGAAGACTGGTCAGAGGTATGGGGTCAGTGTAGAAGACTGGTCAGAGGTATGGGGTCAGTGTTGAAGACTGGTCAGAGGTATGGGGTCAGTGTAGAAGACTGGTCAGAGGTATGGGGTCAGTGTTGAAGACTGGTCAGAAGTATGGGGTCAGTGTAGAAGACTGGTCAGAGGTATGGGGTCAGTGTAGAAGACTGGTCAGAGGTATGGGGTCAGTGTAGAAGACTGGTCAGAGGTATGGGGTCAGTGTTGAAGACTGGTCAGAAGTATGGGGTCAGTGCAGAAGACTGGTCAGAGGTATGGGGTCAGTGTAGAAGACTGGTCAGAGATATGGGGTCAGTGTAGAAGACTGGTCAGAGGTATGGGGTCAGTGTTGAAGACTGGTCAGAAGTATGGGGTCAGTGCAGAAGACTGGTCAGAGTATGGGGTCATGTAGAAGACGGTCAGAGGTATGGGGTCAGTGTTGAAGACTGGTCAGAGGTATGGGGTCAGTGTAGAAGACTGGTCAGAGGTATGGGGTCAGTGTTGAAGACTGGTCAGAGGTATGGGGTCAGTGTAGAAGACTGGTCAGAGGTATGGGGTCAGTGTTGAAGACTGGTCAGAAGTATGGGGTCAGTGTTGAAGACTGGTCAGAAGTATGGGGTCAGTGCAGAAGACTGGTCAGAAGTATGGGGTCAGTGGAGAAGACTGGTCAGAGGTATGGGGTCAGTGTTGAAGACTGGTCAGATGTATGGGGTCAGTGTAGAAGACTGGTCAGAGGTATGGGGTCAGTGTTGAAGACTGGTCAGAAGTATGGGGTCAGTGTTGAAGACTGGTCAGAAGTATGGGGTCAGTGCAGAAGACTGGTCAGAGGTATGGGGTCAGTGGAGAAGACTGGTCAAAAGGTATGGGGTCAGTGGAGAAGACTGGTCAGAGGTATGGGGTCAGTGGAGAAGACTGGTCAGAGGTATGAGATCAGTGTATACTCTGGGCATCAATACACAGAGAGAAATACACCTCACAATGTATAGACTATATAAATAATAAAGCATTAACCCTTTGAGGGTCGGTCACGTACAAGTACGTCATTGCAGCCAGGGTCGGTCACGTACTTGTACGCCTAAATTCTAGCACCTTCAAATCTGGTGGAAGAAAGCTGACAGGCCTACATATGAAAGAATGGGTCTGTGTGGTCAGTGTGCACAGTATAATAAAAATCCTGAAGCATGCTGTGCATAGTAAGAAAAAAAAACTTCAACTGTGTTTGTGATTTAAAACAGCGACTTTCTAGTGAATTTTCGTATTGTATTTATGGTTGTATTCTCATTTCCTTGGTCTCATTTGATAGAATGGAAGATATATTACAGAATTAGAGATGATTTTGATTGGTTTCACAATGCCAAGTACCTTGAAATTGAGCTCAAAATAGCAAAAATGATCGATTTTTGCCGATATTCAAGAGTAATCAAATCAAGTCACGCATCCAATACACGTTAACTGGTGAGTCTAATATTCTTTCATAAGTGCGCTGATATCATTTACAGTGGACCCCCGTATAACGATGGCATCACATAGCGATTTTTCCGCATACCGCTTACTTTTATCGCAAAATTTTTGCCGCGCATACCGATTAAAAACCCGCTCACCGATTTTCGTCCGAGACGCGTCCAATGTGCCCTCACATGTGCCGCCCGTCCCATTGTTTACCAGCCAGCCTCCGCGGTAACATCCAAGCATACACTCGGAATATTTCGTATTATTACAGTGTTTTCGGTGCTGTTTCTGGAAAATAAGTGACCATGGGCCCCAAGAAAGCTTCTAGTGCCAACCCTGTGGTAAAAAGGGTGAGAATTAGTATGGAAATTAAGAAAGATTTTGAAGGGTTTGGGGCTAACCCTGAGAAGCCTATGCCAGTTGTGGAATCCATTGTGCCTACTTCAAAAATTAAGGAAATGTGTGCACAGTGGGTTGAACTGCAAACCTTTATAGATGAAAATCACCCTGACACAGCTGTTGCAAGCCGTGCTGGTGACTATTTCAATGACAATGTTGTGGCCCATTTTAGACAAATCGTAAAGGAACGGGAGGTACAGAGCTCTATGGACAGATTTGTTGTGCGACAGAGGTCCAGTGACTCTCAAGCTGGTCCTAGTGGCATTAAAAGAAGAAGGGAAGTAACCCCGGAAAAGGACTTGCTACCTCAAGTCGTAATGGAAGGGGATTCCCCTTCTAAACAGTAAGAAGATAATGCTCTCCCCTCCTCCCATCCCATCAATCATCACCAGATCTTCAATAAAAGTAAGTGTCATGTAATTGAGCTCAAAATAGCAAAAATGATCGATTTTTGCCGATATTCAAGAGTAATCAAATCAAGTCACGCATCCAATACACGTTAACTGGTGAGTCTAATATTCTTTCATATGTGCGCTGATATCATTTACAGTGGACCCCCGCATAACGATGGCATCACATAGCGATTTTTCCGCATACCGCTTACTTTTATCGCAAAATTTTTGCCGCGCATACCGATTAAAAACCCGCTCACCGATTTTCGTCCGAGACGCGTCCAATGTGCCCTCACATGTGCCGCCCGTCCCATTGTTTACCAGCCAGCCTCCGCGGTAACATCCAAGCATACACTCGGAATATTCGTATTATTACAGTGTTTTCGGTGCTGTTTCTGGAAAATAAGTGACCATGGGCCCCAAGAAAGCTTCTAGTGCCAACCCTGTGGTAAAAAGGGTGAGAATTAGTATGGAAATTAAGAAAGATTTTGAAGGGTTTGGGGCTAACCCTGAGAAGCCTATGCCAGTTGTGGAATCCATTGTGCCTACTTCAAAAATTAAGGAAATGTGTGCACAGTGGGTTGAACTGCAAAACCTTTATAGATGAAAATCACCCTGACACAGCTGTTGCAAGCCGTGCTGGTGACTATTTCATGACAATGTTGTGGCCCATTTTAGACAAATCGTAAAGGAACGGGAGGTACAGAGCTCTATGGACAGATTTGTTGTGCGACAGAGGTCCAGTGACTCTCAAGCTGGTCCTAGTGGCATTAAAAGAAGAAGGGAAGTAACCCCGGAAAAGGACTTGCTACCTCAAGTCGTAATGGAAGGGGATTCCCTTCTAAACAGTAAGAAGATAATGCTCTCCCCTCCTCCCATCCCATCAATCATCACCAGATCTTCAATAAAAGTAAGTGTCATGTAATTGTGCATGCCTTTTTCAGTTTGTGTGTATTAAAATTAACATTTCATGTGGTAAAAAAAATTTTTTTTCATACTTTTGGGCGTCTTGCACGGATTAATTTTATTTCCATTATTTCTTATGGGGAAAATTCATTCGCATAACGATTATTTCGCATAACAATTATCCCTCTTGCACGGATTAAAATCGTTAACCGGGGGTCCACTGTATACTGTTTTTACAATGATGCAGTAGTATACATAACAGAATACTTTCTATTTTCTGTGAGAATAAAAACTCAAAATAGAAAACAAAAGTAATGTAAGAGGGGCCTAGAGACGTGACTAATGAACAGATAAAATGTTATTTTAGTGCCATGAATGTTTGTCTTGTTTATTCTGGACCCTATTTTGAAAGTAGCATCTTTTGAAATTTGTGTGAAGGTGCCCAAATTGCCAATTTCTGACCACTTTATTGGGTAGTTGAAATCGATAAATGGGAAGAGTCTTGTACTCAATCGATAGAACTAATAGAGCTCTAGGGAAATAGCTATGATTTTGTCGTGTGGGGTTCGGTAAGGAGATAAGAGGGTTGAAGGTAGACACACTTGTTGGATGGTAACGCTATATTGTCAGACTGTGGTAATTGGAGATGGAGCCCAGCCTGCCGTGTCCTGCCTTCTTCTATGCCTATGTGTCGACTGAGGCCGAGGTAGCTCGTCTCACTCGCTCGCTGCATCCCGTGACGTCATACAGTCACAGGCCTAAGGGATCTTCTATATAAACACATGGATGGTACTATAATGCTCATCTAATCTATGCATACAACACATGTAAAGGAGGATCAGCAACTATGCTGACAATTTTAGTCAACTGCAACATTGGAACTGGCCGAAAAGAGGGCCCAAAGTGGGAAAATTCGCCAACTTTTGAGACCGCTAACTTCACAAGATCATAATTCCGTAAGCTTTTCATCAAATTTCATACTTTTGGTGTCATTATGATCGGAAAAAGATTCTCTATCATTTCATAAGAAAAAATAATTCTTTTTTTTTTTTTCGAAAAATTTTTGATCTTGAGAATAAGTTTGGGAGAGGGCCTCTCGACCCTCAAAGGGTTAATAATAGTGGATGGACGATGATAGCGACAGTGACTGAAACACACCAGATTAATAATCTGTCAATGTAACACAGACAAATTTGTAAACAGTCTATAACACAATCTGTAAACAAGTCTGTAAACCTGTAAAAAATCTTTAGACAAATCTGTAAACAAGTCCATAACAAACAAATCTGTAAACCACAGTCTATAATACAGATTGTTTCCAGATCTGTGTTATAGACTGTTGTTTACAGATTGGTCTGCTTTTTATAAATTTGTGTGTTATAGATCATTATTTAAAGATTTGTAACACAAACCTATAAACAAAAACCTATAACACAGACAAATGTGTAAACAACAGACTACAGTGGACCCCCGCATAACGATTACCTCCGAATGTGACCAATTATGTAAGTGTATTTATGTAAGTGCGTTTGTACGTGTATGTTTGGGGGTCTGAAATGGACTAATCTACTTCACAATATTTCTTATGGGAACAAATTCGGTCGGTACTGGCACCTGAACATACTTCTGGAGTGAAAAAATATTGTTAACCGGGGGTCCACTGTATCTCCATTGTTTGTGAATCACTAAGGCCAGCAGATATCGTCTCACACTTTCAAAGTTTATTCAACCAATCGTTGACAAACACAAACAAACAAAGACTTACGGAATCTTCCTCCTTCAACATCCACTCAGGCAACTCGTCCTCCGCCATGAGACGAGGTCTGGATGACTCCTTCCGTCGTTCTTCATCCATTTTCTGAAACAACTCAAATTCATCTTCCCCACGAGCGATCATCTGGTTGATGGTCTCGTCGTCCGGTGCCTCGTCTTCTTCCTACAATTATTATTTTATGTGATGAAAAGGTCACAATACTGTGGGTGGAACAATCCACAACACTGTGGCTGGAACAACCCACAATACTGTGGCTGGAACAACCCACAATACTGTGGCTGGAACAACCCACAATACTGTGGCTAGAACAGCCCACAATACTGTGGCTAGAACAACCCACAATACTGTGGCTAGAACAACCCTCAATACTGTGGCTAGAACATTCAACAATACTGTGGCTAGAACAACCCACAATACTGTGGCTAGAACAACCCACAATACTGTGGCTAGAACAACCCACAATACTGTGGACGGAAGAACCCACATTACTGTGGCTGGAACAACCCACAATACCACAATATTGCGAACTAAACAATTCAGTTCCATCCACAATACTGTGGCAGAAACAATTCACAAATAACCCACAATGTTATAGCTGAAACAATTCACAAATAGCCCACAATACTGTGGATCAAACAATTCACAAATAATCCTCGATACTGTGGATTGAACAATTCACAAATAACCCACAATACTGTGGATCGAACAATTCACAAATAACCCACAATACTGTGGCTGGAACAATTCACAAATAACCCACAATACTGTGGCTGGAACAATTCACAAATAACCAAGGAATGCCTGGTGAGGGCTTAATTACTTTCACACTAAACTGTAATTTGCACACAACAAACTCACACTTATGGAACATGAGCTAATCAAACATGCACTCATCAAGGTCATTGTGTATGGTTGATGGATGAGTTACCTCGTCGTCATCATCATCGTTGGAGAGGATGGCCTGGAGGAACTGACGTCGGTCAGATCCAGTCGACTTCTGGTCGAACATGCCAGCCTGGATCACCTTCTCGTCCATGTTCAGTTTGTACCGAGCAGCAGCCAGGATGCGTTCTTCAACTGTGTTCACTGTCATCAACCGCAGCACTCTCACCTGGTAACAACAACAACAATAATAATGGTATAAAATACCGACAGGTTGTTAGGTAAGACACATATGCAACAGTTAGGTATCTTTATTTTGAAACGTTTCGCCTACACAGTAGGCTTCTTCAGTCGAGTACAGAAAAGTTGATAGAAGCAGAAGATACTTGAAGACGATGTAATCAGTCCATCACCCTTAAAGTTTTGAGGTGGTCAGTCCCTCAGTCTGGAGAAGAGCATTGTTCCATAGAATGAAACAATATTTAAGGGTGATGGACTGATTACATCGTCTTCAAGTATCTTCTGCTTCTATCAACTTTTCTGTACTCGACTGAAGAAGCCTACTGTGTAGGCGAAACGTTTCAAAATAAAGATACCTAACTGTTGCATATGTGTCTTACCTAACAACAATAATAATAATAATAATGACCATTATAATAATAATTACAATTATTAATAATAATGATAAGAGAATATTAAGAACAACATACATGTATTTATTTTTTTTGTCACCCTTCCTCTGTGTGAGACAACTTGTGCTAAATAATAATAATAATAATAATAATAATAATAATAATAATAATATAATAAATAAATGAATAAATAATAATCTCCATGGGGAAAGGAAAAGACTCCTTCGTGTGCAAGTCATGTGCATTTTAAGAGGCAACTAAAATACTGGCAGCTAGGTGCTAGTAACACCCTCTCCTGTATAAATTACTAAATACTAAATTACTAAATTACTAAATTACTAAATACGTATTTGTGTCTGGTGAGGTGACTGTGGGTGGCATGCTAAGAGTACAGTGGACCCTCGGTTTTCAAGTATTCCGGGAATCGAGTAATTCGGATTTAGAGCACTTTTTCAGCAACATTTTGTCCCAGATTTCGAGCAACCGCTCGGAAATTGAGTGTTTGAGATGTGTTCACCCCGTCGGCAATGCCACTTTCTCACATGTATCACACTCAGTCTGCATCTCTCTCTCTCTCTCTCTCATTGAGTAAGGAATACTCTGTGTGTTCATCCATTCATTTTGCTTCTTGTTTATTGATTGTGACTGTGAAATAAGCCACCATGGGGCCAAAGAAAGTTCAGAGTGCCAGCCTATTGGTAAAGAAAGTGAGAAACATGAGGGGGATTCCCCTGCCCAAAAATAAATCCTCCCTCTCTCCTCCTCCCTGTCTTCCATATGCCAACAACAGTCTTCAATACAGGTATGTAATGTTTATACTATTTATTCATATTTATTTATAATTCTTTTTTCAACACACCGGCCATTTTGTGTATTTTAAAAAATGAATTTTTTGTGAATATTTTTGGGTGTCTGGAACGGATTATTGGATTTACATTATTTCTTATGGGAAATATTAATTCGGTTTTCGAGCATTTCGAATTTAGAGCAGCCTTCTGGAATGGATTAAGCTCGAAAACCGAAGGTCCGCTGTATGTTACACTGTATGTCAAATACCCACATAAGCTGCCTCCTGACCAGTGAACTAGGTGCTAAGGGTTTAACAATCAGGGGCCTCGTCATTATAACAGTACATGTATCTTGTTTCAAACAGACAATCACAAGGAAGCCCACCAAAGCTGTGAATCGATGTGGTACATTTGTAAAACACCTCTAGCAGACTTACCTCCCAGCTGGTCGCCATGGTTTACAAAGTCTTGTGCTTGTATTTGCCTCACTGTTCACTGCGTCTTGTGCTTGTAATTTGCCTAATTGTACATAGCTGTAAATACTGTATGTATGTATGTATTTTTTTTTCAACAAACCAGCCATATCCAACCTAGGCAAGGTGGCCCAAAAAGAAAAAGAAAAGTTTCTCTTTAAATTTAGTAATTTATACAGGAGAAGGGGTTACTAGCCCCTTGCTCCTGGCATTTTAGTCGCCTCTTACAACACTCATGGCTTACGGATGAAGAATTCTGTTCCACTTCCCCATGGAGATAAGAGGAAATAAACAAGAACAAGAACTAGAGAGAAAATAGAAGAAAACCCAGAGGGGTGTGTATATACAGTGGACGCATCCCAAGCGTGGCCTCAGCTGCCCCATGGGTGCCAGTGTTCACAAGCCAGCCAGTGTGGTTGCATCTAAGCATACATTCGGTACATTACACATTATCACAGTGTTTTTAGTGCTTGTAGCTGCAAAATAAGTCACCATGGACCCCAAGAAAGCTTCTAGTTCCAACCCTGTGGCAAAAAGGGTGAAAATTACTATGGAAATGAAGAAAGAGATAATTACTAAGTATGAAAGTGGAGTGCATGTCTCGGAGGTGGCCAGGTTGTATACCAAACCTCAATCAACCATCACTACTATCTTGGCCAACAAAACGGCAATCAAGGAAGCTGTTCTTGCAAAAGACGCAAGTTTGATTTTTAAACAGAGATCGCAAGTGATAGAAGATGTTGAGAGACTGTTATTGGAGTGGATACACGAAAAACAGATAGCAGGAGATAGCATCTCTCAAGCGATCATATGTGAAAAGGCTAGGAAGTTGCAAGACGATTTAATTAGAAAAATGCCTGCAACTAGTGGTGATGTGAATGAATTTAAGGCCAGCAAAGGTTGGTTTGAGAGATTTAAGAATCATAGTACATACATAGTGTGATAAGGCATGGTGAGGCTGCCAGTTCAGACCAAAAAGCAGCTGAAAAGTATGTGAAGAAATTCAAGGAGTACATAGACAGTGAAGAATTGAAACCCGAACAAGTGTTTAACTCTTTCAGGGTCGACAGGGCCCTCTCAGAGACTTGTTCTCAGGGTCGGCCAAATTTAAAAAAAAAAAAAAAAAAAAAATTCTTATGAAAAGATAGAGAATCTTTTCCCAATCATAATGACACCAAAAGTACGAAATTTGATGGAAAACTTACGGAATTATGCTCTCGCGAAGTTAGCGGTCTCGACAATGTTTATGCATCGGCGATTTTGCCCACTTTGACCCTTATTTTCGGCCAATTCCAGTGTACTTGTCGACAAAAATCATAACTACTTCGCTAGAACTCCATTTTCTATTGAATGAGTACAGGTCTCCCTCAACATTCACGTTTTCAACTTTCGCAGGCTTCACACATTCGCCAATTACCAACCGCCAAATTCCCAGCCTCCAAATTCCCAGCCGCCAAATCATATTTAAATTTCCCGCCACCTGCGAGTCCCTACTACCCTCCCTCCGACCCCCGCAACTGGCAGCCAGCCCTCCCACCACTCAGTGTGGTGAGTGTTTTGTTTGTTCATTATTTGCTATTAAACTACAGTATAAATAATGTAAACCCATTCATGATTGCATATTGGAATGGCTATTAGGAAAGGTATTAGACGGTGACATCATGTGTTTACTCTTGAACACAGAAAAGAATCAAACATTTCTGCTACTGCTAATAATAACAATAGTAGTAGTAATAATAATAATAATAATAATAATAATTATAATAATAAATACGATAGAACTGAAGAAAGAAATTGTACAAAAATACGAAGGAGTGGTTGACACATCGTCAGTGTGGCTTTGTTTATGCTGGAGTAAGCATTAGTCTCCGTGCTCTTCGAAAACATTTCACAATAATTCATTGCGTTTGGTGCTTGTAGATTGAGTGCGACTGGAGTGGTAGAGGCAGCGGTTGGGGAAGCGGTTGAGGCAGTGGGTGAGGCAGTGGGTGAGGCAGCGGTTGAGGCAGCGGTTGAGGCAGTGGTATTTAATAACATACATGTTATTAATAATAATAATAATAATACATGTTATTAGTAATATGCATTATTATTATTTATAACATATTATTAAATACCATTGCCTCAACTGCTGCCTCTACCAGTGCCTCAACTGCTGCCTCTACCAGTGCCTCAATTGCTGCCTCTACCAGTGCCTCAACTGCTGCCTCTACCAGTGCCTCAACCGCTGCCTCACCCACTACCTCAACCACTGCCTCAACCATTGTTTCACCCACTGCCTCACACACTGATTCTACCATTGCCTCAACCACTGCCTCACCCACTGCCTCAACCACTGCCTCAACCACTGCCCCTACCATTGCCTCAACCACTGCCTCAACCACTGCCCCTACCATTGCCTCAACTGCTGACTCAACCACTGCCTCATGCACTGCCTCTACCATTGCCTCAACCGCTGCCTCACCCAATGCCTCAACCGCTTCCCCAACCACTGCCTCTACCACTCCAGTCGCACTCAATCTACAAGCACCAAACACAATGAATTATTGTGAAATGTTTGGAAGAGCATGGAGACTAATGCTTACTCCAGCATAAACAAAGCCACACTGACGATGTGTCAACCACTCCTTCGTATTTTTGTACAATTTCCTTCTTCAATTCTATCGTATTTATTATTATTATAATTTATTATTATTATTATTAGTATTATTACTACTACTACTATTGTTATTATTAGCAGTAGCAGAAATGTTTGATTCTTTTCTGTGTTCAAGAGTCAACACATGATGTCACCGTCCAACACCTGTCCAAATAGTCATTCCAATATGCAGTCATGAATGGGTTTACATTATTTATACTGTAGTTTAATAGTAAATAATGAACAAACAGAACACTCACCACACAGTGGTGGGAGGGCTGGCTGCCAGTTGTGGGGGTTGGAGGGAGGGTAGTAGGGACTCGCAGTAGTGGAGGCAGTGGTGGAGGCAGTGGTGGAGGCAGTGGTGGAGGCAGTGGTGGAGGCAGTGGTGGAGGCAGTGGTGGAGGCAGTGGTGGAGGCAGTGGTGGAGGCAGTGGTGGAGGCAGTGGTATTTAATAATATACCTGTCATTAAACCATAACGTGTATGTATTTACTACAATTTACGACGTTTTCATGTATTTTATGATTATTCATGGTTCAACAAGTTAAGGAAGAAGTATTGTATTATATTTCCCTACAATATATTGGGGCACCAAACATTAGCGATTTTTCAACATTCACGAGGCTCTTGATCCCCCTAACCCTCGCAAACGTTGAGGGAGACCTGTACAAGAAACCGACCCATTTATCAATTTC